CTATTGCTATTGCTATTCCATCCTTCCGAGGTGGGTAAAATGAGAACACAGATTGTTGGGGGCAATATGCTGACTCTGTAAACCGCTTAGAGAGGGCTGAAAGCCCTATGAAGCAGTATATAAGTCTAACTGCTATTGCTATTGCTATTGCTATTGTTCTATGTTACGGCATACTTTGGTACTTATGACCCAGTTCTGAAGTTCTGATGACTGCCCCAGCCCTGCAGTTATGTGACCACTTGGCAACTGGCCTGCATTTATGGCCATTTGCAACATCCCATGCTTCCATAACCTTTTTTTACCCTTTTGCCTAAAACCAGTATTTACTTCTGGGTTTTGGCAAAACTGGACCATAACAAACCATTAATGACTTAACCGCCACCAAAAAAGGATAACAAAATTGTGTCAGTCGAAGGGTTAACCTATTTTATGACCATCACGACTTATTATCTTGATGTGCAGGCTTCAGTATGGTTGTATCTAGAAGACTACCCGTATAAGTAAAGCAAGGACACTGGGTCTAGCAGATCAGCAGCTAAATGAAAAGGGGAATAAATTCAGATAAAAAAGATTCCAAGCTCAGTACCTGCCATCTCAATTAAAAACAATCAAACAGCAAATGTTTGAAGACAAGACAGTACTACTGCCAGTTTGGTATACACACTTACTTGGAAATCAATAATTTTCGCTTCTCCTCCAGAGATCTCTCACTCTCAGTTCCTTCTTCTGATGTTGAATCTGCAGATGATTCTCTTTTCTTTGGCTTCTTCCTGCGCCGTCTTTTCTTACGAGCAGTTGTATCAGAGCCCAGGTCATCAGAGTTCCCATATAACTTGGCAGATTTGGCCACAGCATCGATGCTTTTCTCAGTGGGGATGGGAGATGTGCACAAGAAGCTTGGGATCCTCTCCTGGGAGACAGAGGGCACAAATCAGCTTCTCAGCCAGGATTGAGTCAGGTTTAAGCCATAACTCTAGGCAAATCAAACTGCAAACTCAGCACCAAACATCAAACAAGGACTGCAGACTAGAACAGGGATCTCCAACCTCCACAACTTTAAGAGTTGTGGACGTCAACTACCAGGATTCCTCAGTCAGCTGCTGGCTGAGGAATTCTGGGCGTTGACGTCCACAAGTCTTAAAGTTGCCAAGGTTGGAGACCCCTGGACTAGAAGATCTACATATTCTGATTTTACAAGTCCAGGAAACTATGGATAAGTTTCACCCCATGTCTACCAGGGAAAAATCAACTCAATTAGTCAGGAAAAAGCAGCAGCTGCAAGAGCTGGACCTTCTCCATCAACCTTTTCTTTTTTACATTATTAACAAACACTTCAAAAAGATTTTAAAATATTTGTTTCTTTGGACTAAATTAAAAAATGCAGAGCATACAATGTCTCATCAACAACTATTTTGAAATTTCATCTTTTTTTTTTTTAAAGATAAACTATCTAGACCTCCAATGATGAACATATGCCTTGGATATTATTTGGACTTGGATATTTCAGAGGGGAAGATTGCAGTGATGTTCTCATGTTTTCCCAGTGAAGAGCAATTCCTAGCAAAACCTGAGAAATCAATGAGAAATCTCATTTTGGTAAGGGAGAGTGTGTGAGTGTGTGTGTGTGTGTGAGAGAGAGAGAGAGAGAGAGACAGACAGACAGACAGACAGGGCTTAAGAATACTATGTCTTTGGTGTAACCCGGTGTTTCTCAGCCTTAGCAATTTTAAGATGCATGGACTTCAACTCTCAGCATTCTAGGAGTTGAACTCTATAGATCTTGAAGTTGCCAATGTTGAGAATCAGTGGTCAGGCCTACTAAGAAGTATGTCTGGAAAGAAATGGCCAGATGCATATTTATGCCATGTAAATATGCCCACCTTTTGTTCTTCTGACTCCTGGACAAAAAAGGCTTCTCCATTGTCACCCAGCTTCATATGCAGATTGACTGGCTCTCCATTGATTTCTATGTCAACCTAATAAAAAAGGAAAGATCAAATTATTTTAAGCCTAGGAAACCATTTCTCAACAAATTCCAATCATTTCCTGTATCAGAAATTGAGAGTGAAAAAATAGATCCGGTCCACACACATTTAGGAATAAAGAGATCAAAATTTAAGTTTATTCAGCAGCATTCTTCCTTTTTCTCAATTACTGCTAATATCCAAGTTGGATCTGAATTGTCACCTTTAGAGAGAAAAAAAAGAATAAAGGCAGTGCTGCTCCAACAAGGAGTCTTCCATCTGATGTTCCTTGCATAAATACTGAGTGTCTATGGATTCTCATTCGTCCAGGTCATGGTTGCCCCAAAGGTGCTTTTTTTCAAGAGGCAACTGGACTTTCTGGTTTTTCTTTGAAGACATTTCACTTGTCATGCAAGAAGCTTCTTCAGCTCTTCCCTGGATCTGGCTATGTCCTTTAACTCCCCCATCTTCAGTTTAATTAATGCCACTTTCCTGTTCCATTTTCTGCTGTGGAGGTTTCTTCTTTTTATCAGTAGGAAGAACAGATTTCAACATAGCAGGAAATGGGCAAGAAGATTAAAAGTACACAGACCAGTTTAAAAATAACTGGTGTGTTGCTGCAAATGGCACCATTTGTGCAATGACACAACTTTGTGCAATGTACGTCATTCAACAGATACACAGAGGACTTCGCCTCTAATCCAAAAATATCAGAAGGCAATATACTTATCTTCTGATTCAAATGACTTAACTAGCCCTTTGCTACAGGTTGATTTAGCATAAACAATTAGTTCCCATTATTTAAATAATTACTATTCTAAGTATTACAGGGGTTACATTATGAAGCTGAAGCTAGCCCCTCCTTATTCAGATGAGGAGAGAGTTTGAAATGTATTTTTTAGCCAAGCCCTTTAGAATTTCATTGTTCTTGGTTGCTGATTTTGATGCTGTAATTGGTAAATGGGACNACTTATGACCCAGTTCTGAAGTTCTGATGACTGCCCCAGCCCTGCAGTTATGTGACCACTTGGCAACTGGCCTGCATTTATGGCCATTTGCAACATCCCATGCTTCCATAACCTTTTTTTACCCTTTTGCCTAAAACCAGTATTTACTTCTGGGTTTTGGCAAAACTGGACCATAACAAACCATTAATGACTTAACCGCCACCAAAAAAGGATAACAAAATTGTGTCAGTCGAAGGGTTAACCTATTTTATGACCATCACGACTTATTATCTTGATGTGCAGGCTTCAGTATGGTTGTATCTAGAAGACTACCCGTATAAGTAAAGCAAGGACACTGGGTCTAGCAGATCAGCAGCTAAATGAAAAGGGGAATAAATTCAGATAAAAAAGATTCCAAGCTCAGTACCTGCCATCTCAATTAAAAACAATCAAACAGCAAATGTTTGAAGACAAGACAGTACTACTGCCAGTTTGGTATACACACTTACTTGGAAATCAATAATTTTCGCTTCTCCTCCAGAGATCTCTCACTCTCAGTTCCTTCTTCTGATGTTGAATCTGCAGATGATTCTCTTTTCTTTGGCTTCTTCCTGCGCCGTCTTTTCTTACGAGCAGTTGTATCAGAGCCCAGGTCATCAGAGTTCCCATATAACTTGGCAGATTTGGCCACAGCATCGATGCTTTTCTCAGTGGGGATGGGAGATGTGCACAAGAAGCTTGGGATCCTCTCCTGGGAGACAGAGGGCACAAATCAGCTTCTCAGCCAGGATTGAGTCAGGTTTAAGCCATAACTCTAGGCAAATCAAACTGCAAACTCAGCACCAAACATCAAACAAGGACTGCAGACTAGAACAGGGATCTCCAACCTCCACAACTTTAAGAGTTGTGGACGTCAACTACCAGGATTCCTCAGTCAGCTGCTGGCTGAGGAATTCTGGGCGTTGACGTCCACAAGTCTTAAAGTTGCCAAGGTTGGAGACCCCTGGACTAGAAGATCTACATATTCTGATTTTACAAGTCCAGGAAACTATGGATAAGTTTCACCCCATGTCTACCAGGGAAAAATCAACTCAATTAGTCAGGAAAAAGCAGCAGCTGCAAGAGCTGGACCTTCTCCATCAACCTTTTCTTTTTTACATTATTAACAAACACTTCAAAAAGATTTTAAAATATTTGTTTCTTTGGACTAAATTAAAAAATGCAGAGCATACAATGTCTCATCAACAACTATTTTGAAATTTCATCTTTTTTTTTTTTTAAAGATAAACTATCTAGACCTCCAATGATGAACATATGCCTTGGATATTATTTGGACTTGGATATTTCAGAGGGGAAGATTGCAGTGATGTTCTCATGTTTTCCCAGTGAAGAGCAATTCCTAGCAAAACCTGAGAAATCAATGAGAAATCTCATTTTGGTAAGGGAGAGTGTGTGAGTGTGTGTGTGTGTGTGAGAGAGAGAGAGAGAGAGAGACAGACAGACAGACAGACAGGGCTTAAGAATACTATGTCTTTGGTGTAACCCGGTGTTTCTCAGCCTTAGCAATTTTAAGATGCATGGACTTCAACTCTCAGCATTCTAGGAGTTGAACTCTATAGATCTTGAAGTTGCCAATGTTGAGAATCAGTGGTCAGGCCTACTAAGAAGTATGTCTGGAAAGAAATGGCCAGATGCATATTTATGCCATGTAAATATGCCCACCTTTTGTTCTTCTGACTCCTGGACAAAAAAGGCTTCTCCATTGTCACCCAGCTTCATATGCAGATTGACTGGCTCTCCATTGATTTCTATGTCAACCTAATAAAAAAGGAAAGATCAAATTATTTTAAGCCTAGGAAACCATTTCTCAACAAATTCCAATCATTTCCTGTATCAGAAATTGAGAGTGAAAAAATAGATCCGGTCCACACACATTTAGGAATAAAGAGATCAAAATTTAAGTTTATTCAGCAGCATTCTTCCTTTTTCTCAATTACTGCTAATATCCAAGTTGGATCTGAATTGTCACCTTTAGAGAGAAAAAAAAGAATAAAGGCAGTGCTGCTCCAACAAGGAGTCTTCCATCTGATGTTCCTTGCATAAATACTGAGTGTCTATGGATTCTCATTCGTCCAGGTCATGGTTGCCCCAAAGGTGCTTTTTTTCAAGAGGCAACTGGACTTTCTGGTTTTTCTTTGAAGACATTTCACTTGTCATGCAAGAAGCTTCTTCAGCTCTTCCCTGGATCTGGCTATGTCCTTTAACTCCCCCATCTTCAGTTTAATTAATGCCACTTTCCTGTTCCATTTTCTGCTGTGGAGGTTTCTTCTTTTTATCAGTAGGAAGAACAGATTTCAACATAGCAGGAAATGGGCAAGAAGATTAAAAGTACACAGACCAGTTTAAAAATAACTGGTGTGTTGCTGCAAATGGCACCATTTGTGCAATGACACAACTTTGTGCAATGTACGTCATTCAACAGATACACAGAGGACTTCGCCTCTAATCCAAAAATATCAGAAGGCAATATACTTATCTTCTGATTCAAATGACTTAACTAGCCCTTTGCTACAGGTTGATTTAGCATAAACAATTAGTTCCCATTATTTAAATAATTACTATTCTAAGTATTACAGGGGTTACATTATGAAGCTGAAGCTAGCCCCTCCTTATTCAGATGAGGAGAGAGTTTGAAATGTATTTTTTAGCCAAGCCCTTTAGAATTTCATTGTTCTTGGTTGCTGATTTTGATGCTGTAATTGGTAAATGGGACGTTGTTGTTTGTATTATAATTCAGTAATCTGGCTAGAATGATTGCGATTGAGTGCCACACACATTCAATAAATAAATATGGCTTTGGTAGTTGAGGCTATGTAAAAACGATCTTATAATTCTGCTGTTTATACCATGTGTGGCAGAGTTGACAATAAAATGAGCCAGATAGATTTAGGCTTCAAAGCATGTTGAATTTTTCAGTGCTAAAAAGTAAACAGGAATGGAGACTATTCCATCTTTTTTTACATGTATTGAGCATTTTCAGAGACTAATGAAAAAATATGAATTGACAATACAGGAGATATTTTTTTCCCCTTCCAGATATGTTAGTTCATAATCGCATTGGATAGTGGCATCATTTCCCTTTGGATAGTGAGTGGCATCATTTCCCTTTGGATAGTGAGATGGACAACATATACATTTAATAAACAAATAATCATTGCCAGCCAAAGAAATTCTGGTTGAAGGCTGAAGCACAAAAAACTGGGATGGTTATTAGATCCTTTCATGATATGATTATTAGACTCTTTCATGAAATCTTTGTATCATGCATAGTATAAAGATTTGTGAACATGCCCAGTGGCTATAATATGCTTCCACTTTCTACTCTAAAGAGAATGAGTGGGTGGGCATCAGATGCATAATGTAATGAGGCTTACTATACATCTTGGTTCCAGTGAGCAGCCAAAGCTGGAGCAATTTTTGAAAGAACATTCCATAAAAGGCCACATTTCATAAAAGTGCCAACTTTCCCTATGTAAGCCTGCTTTGTCCCAGTTTAATGGCCTGAAAACATGGTTATTTTACTTATTAATGTGCATCTTGCCAAATTAAGACACACACACACATAAACACACTGAACCTGAAGGAATTCTGTTTAAGTTGCAGAAAATTAAAGCATCAGCTGCCACACATCTGTAACTACTTACCACTTTCTCACTGGAATGCAGAACTCGGAGCTTCCCAAAGCGCACATGGAAAGGTGAACAACACAAGGACCCATCTGGTTGCCTTACCACAATGACATCAATGCAGCCTGTGAGGGTGGCTGGATTCAGACCTCTGTACAGCTCCTTCACCGTGCCAAACACAGATTCAGCAATCTGGCCCACATAGTTCATTGTCTGACTCTAGGAGGAGAAAGAATAACAAAGAAAACCCTATTTCAATAAAACATTAACTGTTGTCACAGGGTTAGATGGTATCACCCAGCAACAGTTTCTGAGGTTAAGAAATGGTATCCTTACGGATATTAATGCAACACTAAATGCTCCCATCTCTCACAAATTTGCAAGTTTTCAACATTATTCCACAGCAAAAAAAAATTCTCCAGATGTCCTATGCCAAAGTCAACCTCAGGTTGCGTCTTCCACACATGAGGTCCATCCCCCCTCCGTTCCATTGCTCGCACCCACCCACAAGGTTCTTCTGGGCCAGTGGTGGGTTCCGGCAACCGCTGCTGCCAGTTTGCTCAGGGATGCCCTGTGTGCGCGCACACATGCACAGTACAACACAATTTGCTCTGCGCATGCGCAGAAGCCAAAAACAAGATGGCAGCGCTGGGAAAACCGGTTTGGGGGCATGGCAGGCCTGGGTCACTGCCAGTTCCAGCAACCCAGGCTGCCAAGCTACTGTCAGTTCAGCCAAACCAGTCCAAACCAGTAGGAACCCACCACTGTTCTGGGCCTGCCCTAGTCCTTTTTCTTTTATCCTCTAGCCCAGAGGTGCTCAAACTTGGCAACTTTAAGACTTGGGGACTTCAACTCCTAGAATTCTGGAACTTGAAGTTCACAAGTCTTAAAGTTGCTAAGTTTGAGGACCCCTGGGCTAGCCTGTTAGAGATAATAATAATTAAAATGGAAAATAAGCAATCTTAGCCCTCTCCATCCCCATCTTGGCTTGGCTGCTTCCATTCATCCAGGACTGACTGTTGGAGAAAATGCAAAGATTGTAGAAGAGAAGCCATTTATCTTTAATAAAGTTTTCACATGTGCAAATCCGAGAGCCAAAATCATAAATATCCTAATTCCTCATGGTGGATCAGAATCTGAACATTTTGTTCAGTTTGTTTTCTAGCGTATAAACATTTGTGAGTTGCATCTTAAAATGTTGGTTTTGTCACCCTCAGTCTATATAAATAAATATATTTTTATAAAATCTTTTTTTTTAAAAAAACTTACGGTATCATCAAAGTCAACTTTCTTTTGTTTCTCTAAAATGAAATGCACTAATTAAAATCAATTGCTGAACTGCTTTTTTGGCTGTATTTAAGCACTAAACATTGAGCCT